AAGGACTAAAGTAATGACCTCCTTACCTGCTCAGGCGTAATCGTGTCCAACTCGGCAATGTACTTTTGGTACATGAGATTGACATCGTTCGTCATCTCGGAAACGATATCCCACTTGTAAGCCCACGTGGGGCGCCGTAATTCGTCATGTTCATCTGCATACCAAGGATCAAACCTGACGCTCTTCGGGCGTCCAACAGGCAGACGCTCCCAGCTCCATACAGAAAGTAGAAGCAGATTACCACCAATGCCTGCACTAGGTGTGATCCTGCAACACGCATCATCCAGCTACATATGAAAGAAAAACAATGTTAACTTGACAGCAAGCTTGCATTGCTAATGAATAAATGAGTTGATCACAAAACAGACCAACTACCTGTCGGTACAAGTAGGCAAGAGTCGCTGAACCCCAGCTCCATTTGCTATCGAAGACGGTCAACGCCTTCAGCCACATCAATGGAGCGTTCTTGCCAGTGGAGTCAGGAAACAAAGTCCTCGACACAATGTACCATATATACACACGAGCATGTGTCTGGATCACATCATCAGTTGCATCCGGAGGGCACGTCGCAAAGTTATTTTGAATCCACGTGAAAGCAGCTCCGGCTGCCTTCCTTTCCCTCTTCTTCTTCTCTTCTCCCTCCTCTGCATCATCCTCAGCCTCGGTAGGAGCCATACCGATAAGAGCAATCATCTGCTCGCGCCACCCATCAGAATCGGTGCTCATACATAGAGGCCTCCCGTCGATAGCAAGACCGGTGATCAACGAGACATCCTCGAGCGTCACGGTCATCTCCCCGGTCCGAAGATGGAAACTGTGGGTCTCTGGCCTCCACCGATCAACAAGAGCGGACACCAGTGGAGCGTTCAGATTCGGCGTGGACCGGCTGACCAACAGAATCCACGGGAGTAGTCCTGCCTGCTTGATGTACGGTGTGTACCGCTCATCGTAAGGCATGGCACGACCAGAGGCCCCGTGATACCGAATCTTCAGAGGTTCAAGCTTCTGCAAAAAACAAGTAATGACAAATCTTAGGGCATGTAAATTTCAACTAAAGGCAAATTTGCAAAATATTTAGATTACTCATTATTACCTTATCCTTCTCGCGCATCATGTAGGCCCGGTGTTGCACGTCGTAGACATCGTCCAGAAGCCAAACCATCCTTACAATTTCAAACAATAAACATATAAAAGTTCATCTTCATCTCAAATATCGGTATACACTAAACATATAACATGTGTTCAACTACAAGAATCTCAACATCTCCTTCTCACACAATGAATATGTCATATGTGTTCAAATAAACTAAACATCTAATATTTCAAATAAACTCAACATCTAATATTTGAAATAAACTGAACATCTAATATATATCTAAACAAACTTCTCATATATGTCTACAAAAATCAACATCTCATAGTTATCTATAAAAATAGGCATCTCATATATATCTAAAAAAACTAAACAATCTAGGGTTTCAACAACAAAAATCATATATTGTGAACTAATAAATAACACTACGGTACTATCAATATGAATACACATCCTAAATCGAGCAAACCAAACAAATCAAGGGTTCCATCAAATCATGGACAAATCTCTAGAATGGCAACAAATTTACGGAGCAAAAGAAAGAGAAGGGAAGAGTTTACCTAGTAGGATGGATTGGGGATCGAATCCACGGATCAAATCTTCAGATCTGAGAGGGATGTGGGGGGATTAGATGGGGGCGCCGCCGCCGCCGCTGCTCTCTGTCCAGAGAGCGGAGAGACGAAGAACTGCCTGGTCGGGCTGGGGCGGCCGCGCTTAAGTCACTGTGCAGCGCCCAAGGGCTAGGCGCTGCACGTCAAAGTGTGGCGCCTAGCTCTTAGGCGCTGCACAGGTGCGTGTGGGGCCGCAACTGGACCAGGGCTGCCACGCTGGCAGGATGTGCGACGCCTAAGGGAGAGGCGCTGCACAGTAGGGTGCGGCGCCTAGCTGTCGGGCGCCACACCGAAGGGTTAGCAGAGTGAAATTTTTTCGTGAACAGGTCAGTTTGTGATTTGATTTCTGCCTCAGATCAAATCTGTGATTTCTGCCGGAGGACGACGTGAGTGCGCGTGAGCGAGCGCTACTCCTATCCTAGCTAGCATTCAAAAGGGCGGCCTACTTCTCCCTGTAACCTGTACGTAAACCTCCTCCTCCTCCCTCCTCCCCCACCGTTGAGGACGGACCCATTATTTCCCTTCTTTTATTATCACTGCGACATGCATGCATGCATGCTTTTCCAACGTCACAAATATAACCATGGCCAGGCAGCCGCATCCTCCTCCACTTTGGATCCTACATGTCATCCCGGGCCATGCCATGCCATCATGAACCCGCAGGTTGAGGTCGGGACATGGAAACATGCCCTGCGAATCTCTCGCCCGCTTTGGAATGATTGGCACCGGAACGTAGGAGGCTCCCTTCATACGGGAAGGGATGGGAAAAGAGGGGAATGTTTATGATACTCATCGCCATCATATGAGCAAGTGCCGCGCCATGCAGAGAAAGCAAAAGGACGTGAGACAAGCGGCCTGAGACACTGGTCAAAAGACCAGCATCGGCAGTGAATTGCATGCACCTCAGCTCGCTCACGACCCCACTGATTATTAGATTACAGAAACCTGTCCACTACTTGACCTGCTAACAAGCGTACGGATAAACGAGCGTATGGACATTTGATTGCAGAGATAAAAAATTCTTCCGGAAGATAGGGTATTTACTCCTGTAAAAATCTTGTCAACAAAACAGGTTACATATTGTTTAGCGGATTTTGGACGTAGCGGGGATAGCAGTGCGTGCTGGCGACTTAGGGCATCTCCAGCCGCGCCCCCAACAGGCCCTCCCTAGGCGATTTTGTCACGCCGGCGCCAAAAAAGGCCCCAGTCGCGTTTCCAGAAGCCCGTTTTTCGCCGGCTCGGCCCAAAACTGGTGCCGGCGGACCCAGGCCGAATCTGGCGCCCTGAGGGGCGCTTGGGGAGCCGGCACAAGCGAAAAAGGCGCGTGGGCCCGCCCTGGAGGCGACCCGAGGACCTTTTCCCGCCGTTTCTTGACGCTTTTCCCTCGCATCTTTCCCGCTCGCTCGCCTTCCTCCCGCCATTCTCTCCCTTTCTCCCGTCAAACCCCCTCCCGCTGCCGCAAAGAAGTACGCCATGCCGCCGAAGAAGTACGCCATGCCGCGCGCGGCGGCAACCGCGACTGGCGCCGTGGCCCAGCCGAAGCAGAGGAAGCCGAGGGCGCCGCCATCGAAGCCACCGGGCCTGTCGAATGCCGAGTGGAGGGTGGAAGTTCAGCGGCGCGAAGCAGTCACCGCCGACAGGCGGAACAGGGCCATAGCCAAGAAGGCCCGCGACAACGCGGCGCGCGCGGCGGCGTCTTCCTCATCGGTCGACCAGGCGGGGATGAATCCAAGGCGATGGCGAACCATTGGGGGCGTATCCAGTTGGCGTGCAACAAATGGCATGGAATCGTCGAGGAGGTCGCGGCTCGCCCGGAGAGCGGCGTCAGCGTTGAGGATCAGGTACGCACGTCGTTCGCCCGCATATCTTCGTCCCCTACGCCCGCCGCCCGCCAACTGTTCGTCCCTCCGCGCAGCTGCTGCGTATGTTCGCCATGTATCGGGGCGACAACCAAGACGCCGACTTCAAGCACCTCCACGTCTACAAGCGCATTGACAAGTGCAAGAAGTGGGCGGAAGTCCGACGTGCCCTCGACAAGGCCAAGGAGACATACAAGCCGGACGCGACGACTCCGGGCGCGTCAGAGGGGCGGTCGGACGGCCACAAATTGGCAAAGAAGGGGAAAAGCGCCGACGCGGCAACCGCGCGAGTGCAGGAGTCCATCGAGCATTGCCTCGCCGACGCCCAGGCCCGGGCCGTCCTACGCGAAGAGAAGACCGAGGCGCGGTGGTCGTCGCTAATGAAGAACAACGCCATCAAGCTCGACCTGCTCCGGACGAACGTCGCCGCGAAGAAGAGGAACACCGACATGGCTTTTCTAATGGGCGGGGCGGACATGCTCCAGAGCAACGACGAGAAGCTCAAGGCGTGGTACCTGGTGCAGCGCGGCCTCATCCTGAACGGGCTGCCGACGGCAACGCCGACGACGCCGACGACGCCCACGACTACACGGACGCCAAGCCCGAACGACGCCTCTACATCGCCGCCCAGCAGTGCCGAAGCCGCGCCATCACAGCCCAGCACCGAAGCAGCTCCGACACCGACGAGCCCGCGCACGCCGACTCCGCCAACGCCTGGAGCCGACCCCGCCGAGTGAATCGTTGCGCACGCGAACTTGCGGCGGCAGCGCTTTGTTTTTTGTAACGCCAGACTACGTCTGATTACCGGATTTGCAGTGTCTTTTGAGAGCGGGAACGACCAAGTTTAAATTTCCCGCATCCTAGGGCCGGCGCGTGGGGGCGTGACTGGGAGCTAGGTCGCTCCCAGGGGCCGAACTAGCGCCAGCACGCCCCTAGGCCGCTCTATTTAGGCGCCCTGGGGGGCCGAACGGCTGGAGATGCCCTTACCCAACCTCCCCCTTGGGTCGCTGAACTAGTTGCTGTCGATTGTAATCCTGTGAATCTATACCTCGCAAAAAAAAAAGGTACGGATGAAGACACATCAGCTCAGTCCCGATCGCACAAACCCTTTCACTTTTCTTCGGACAGCCTCCTTCCATGCATTGTTGTAAGCCATACATGCATGCATGATAATACATTCCCAGGAAATTACATAAAAAAGAGGCTCAAAAGAAAAGAAAGTAAGAACACTACGTACTGCTACAAGTTCGGTGAGCTAGAGACTAATGCCTGCTTCTCCTACGTACCACTACCACTACATCACCTTCGTGATAACCAATTAACCAGCCTTGCCTTCCCAGCTTAAAACAAGTGGCATGAGCAACCGACGCTACTAATCCAGCTCCAGGTTACGACAACAGGGCCAGTGACAGCAAGATTTGAGCAGCAGCAGCGCGGCTATGCGTCTGTCCAGGCAGCAAACACAGGCATGGGAGGGATGGAGGAATTCGGCCCCCTCAACGCGTGGGTGGCGGTCGGCGCCGGCATCGCCATCCACGGGCTCATGGTGGCGAGGCTGACGGCGTTGGGATGCTTGGCGTACAGCGAGGGCAGGCTGAACCTCTCGGGGCTCCCCTCTCTCGAGTTGCTGAGGCTGGTCACCAGGGAAGACGAGTTGGAGTAGTTAATCTTGCCTGAAACGTCGATGTCATGCGCGGCAGACTCGACGTCGAACCCGGCAATGCCATTGCCATGCAGGGACGAGCGAGGGTCGCCGTCCATGAAGCCCTTCTGAAGGTCGGCCACCTCGGGGGTGCACTGTGCAGCTTGCTGCGGTGTTCCATGGAGCACCATCCTCCAGACGCCTGAGCTTCCTTCTTCGGCATGGCTGAGCTCCCCGCCGCCGTTGTGCATGGAAGGCACGTGGTTGGCCGCCTCGATCGGCCTGACCTTGCGCGCTTCGTCCCCGGGCAGCAGAGAGCTGCTCTCCATGATCTTGTCCACGTCGTATCTGGTTATGTCGAAGTTGGTCACGGCGTTCAGGCCACGGAACTTGATCGCGGCTACGTCATAGGCCTCGGCTGCTTCTTCTTGAGTGGCTGTACAAAGATTCAGTAGATTTTGTTAAGATCTTCATACATGTGACAAATGGTGAGGTATGTTACTTTAGAAGACGTCATCGATGATAATATCCTCCTTGTTCACTCATTAGGAAACCAAGGTAGATTCCTATTGTAAAGTACGATTTCCGATCTGATTGCTTTTTGCGTCGTGCTAGTGTGATTGATTTTTCAGTCCAAGGGGGTATTCAAGACAGTCAACCAATAACTTTGTACAGAGGTCACAGCCTTATGAAAAGCATAAAACATCTGGAAAAGCAAAGAATGATCAGGGAAGGATGCATTGCAGTTGCAGATGTACTCATGTACTCCACGAGCTAAAGTTAGTTACTAGATCCCAAAGCAACGCACAAAACTAGAGGTTTAACAGTAAAAGCTTCTGCTGGGTGTCTACTACATTCTCTAGCAAATCCACTTTGACACGACAATTAGCATACTAGCATCGATAATAGTACACCCTGCTACTTGAGATTAGCACTGAAAGCTTCTTTCACTTATGGCACATAACTTTGTGAAAACTCTTTTGGTTAGTAAGTATATAAAACCAAGCGGATATAAATGTCGTTCTTACTGAAAGTGCCGAGATACAAGTCTTTGTTGCCAGCAACCCTGCCAATCCTAGCTTGCCATCTTCCATGCTGATGATGCCTGAAATGCAACATGGGCGCGTTGAGATTGTTTTCCGCTCAAATTATTCAGACTTTTCTCTCATGCAATATTTTTCTTACTTGAGGGAGAATGTGTAGGCATCTTACCTCGTTACTCCTCGATATATCGAAGCACCACGAGAAAACCCGCTGCTTCTCCTGTAGGCATCACAAACTTATTACTGAATCTATCAATCAAAAAAGATCTAGAGTGGGAGAAAAATGACTCCTGCTTTTTTACCTTCTCAAGTGTGCAACGAATTCCTGCCTTGTCATGCTTTTCATCTCCTCGACCTCCTCTCGATAATTTTCTAGCTGTGAAGCTCAACATATCAGTTCACATTATAGAAACCGATATCAACGGTTTTAGTTTCCATGAACCAGTCCATGTTGTCATCCATACCGGGAAATTGGTGTTCGTCGACGGCCCCCAGTATTTCAGAGCAGCCAGATCATAAGCCCTGGCAGCCTTGTCTTCATTATCATAACCACCTAGCCCACATTAAGAAAATGTCAGGAACTAGGACACAGCTTGATACAAGTGCTGCAGCAAAGTACTCCTATATATGAAGTCAATTTTACCTAGATAAACTGCAAGAAGACACCATTGGAGCCAGAGATGTTGACATACACAAGAAGAAGAACATGTATCAGAATGTCAGCTGAAGTCATAAGGTGACTGGTGCGTATGATTTTGATACAATTTGTGCTAGAAGTTGAGCTAGTGATCAACCTTGCCTCCCTTTCCTTGTCTGCCCATCCTTCTTGCAACTGTTGTCCCACAGGTGGGCTTCATATCTCCCAGTCCACCTGTGCCTGCTCCAGTGGATCAAACACACACAAACCTTGGTCATGCGATATAAACAATATAAAAAGGGAGGCAGGTTCAATCAGGTGATTTGGTCAAAAACAAAAGAGCAGGTAGGTGGTGTCTCATCAATGCAAAGAACTGAAGAGGCATCAGAAGCAACAGGTGCATTGCGCTCAGTCTTTAATCCTGAGGGATGAAACAAACTAAGCATCTTGTGGGTGAATAAATCTAACTGCTCCATGGCATTAATTTGTTTTGGAACGAAGTATGGATACTAGGTGCCCTACTAAATAACAAGAACTGCAGATGCATCAGTGGAACACTGCAGATATCAATGCTGCTAACTAGGACAAAATCACAGGGCAAAACATAAGGCTCAAACAGGCTAGTACTAGTACTGCCACTACATGTTCTAAATGAACCAGGAATTTATTTATTTAAAAAAATAAAGGAACTAGGAATTAGTTGACATCAGTTTATTTGCACATGATCAGCAATGTAAAATGATCAAATAGGTACTATTGAGCAAGTTGGGATCGTACATGAACCCAAAGGTTAAATATCTGTAGTATAAGCAACTTACCTGGTGACGCCCCTATACTGGGAGGTCCTCTGCCCAAACGTGTCGATGGACTTGCGGTGAACGGGCTGCTTCTGGCCTCCCTTCCCAGTGCCCCTCTTCTTCCCCACGCACTGCTCCCCACCACCATTACTGCCTCCCTGGGAAGCAGCCATAGAGGCAGCAGCAGCAGCAGCAGCCGCAGCCATCTGATGCTGCTGAGGAGCTGCGGTGACGCAGCTGCTGGACTGGGACCTGGGGCTCATGGACAGGCTCAGCGGCTGCATCCCCGCGTTGCTGTAGCATGAGCCATAGCTCGTCACGAGCAGGTTCTTGGCAGCGGCCATTGCCTCATCCATCGGCGCCGTGGTCTCTTGGTAGATCGCCTCCGTTTCCGTCAAGTGCTGGAAGTTGTAGGGCGCTAGCTGCTGCTGATGGTGCTGGTAGATTCTGCTTGCCTCCTGGTCCTGTTGGTCCTGCTGCTGCTGGTGGTGGCTGTAGTAGGTGACCGCGTCGTGCCCACTTCCATTGCCGCCACCCAAGAAGTCCTCGAGCTTCGGCGAGGACGATGGCATCATCCCTAGGTGATGGCAGCACGAAAGATTAGTATCGGCGTTGCAACAATGGAAACCAAGAGATAGAGAGAGAAGTGCAACAGTGAGCTGACCTTCCATGATGCACAGGGATCCATCGGACGTGATGGGCATGACGGAGTGGTGGGAGTAGTAGACGCCGGCGGTGCTGGTGCCATCCCCATAGGCGCCGCCGACGTAGTAGTAGCCAGGAGGTGGAGCGGCCATTTGCGCGGGTTGGGAGAATAGGAGGTTGCAGGTCGCGGCGTTTGTGGGAGAAGCGGACATAGCGCTAGCGCTAGCAGGTTGAGCCTGAGCGTGGTCGGGTTCAGAGGAGGGCACCTCCATGGCCATGTGCGGGGAGAGGGAGAAACCTAACCAGTTGCCGCCGCCGCTGGCCATCGCTCTCATCAACAAACAAACACAGACGAAAACGCTTCTTGCTTCGCTTTCACTCTGAGCTGAGCTCTACTGCTACTGCGGCACCACTACCCTTGTCCGAGCGACGACATGGAGATGGAGGCAGTGGTGGTAAAAGAGAAGTGAACTACGAGGAAGACGGGAGGGACCCGTGAGTTGAGCAAAAGGAATGAGAGGGAGGGGCCAAGCAAGCCAAAGGCCAAAGCAAAGCGGTGGATAAGTACCACTCTCTCCTGAGCCCTAATGCAATTTCATCAGAGCGGGCATATAAAATCTAGGGGCCTGTTTGTTCTTGGCCTCCCCATACCTCTCGTTCCATGGGGATCTGTGGTTGGATTGGATAAAAGATGTCGTGTGTGTGTGTGTCTTCAGGTCCCTTGGGTTCCCACCCCACCCTCTTTTTACTGGGGCGAGGCCACGCCCGGTGCTGTTGAAAACTCACGCGGCGGCACATACCCACAGATAAAGATGCAAGAATTTAATCGTGGAGTTGCCATTGGACAAGATGGCCAGCCTCCTCCTACCGTCCAGTGCCTCTCCATCTCACTCTCTTTCAACCTGTCATGCACTAGTAGCACTGCTGCCTAGACGTAGTAGCTGGATGCTGCCCAGAGTGGCTGAAAGAAGGCTGCTTTCGGCACAGGCTTCATGGAGTTACGTGAGAGGAGAGAGAGAGAGCAGGTGAGTGTATCCGGTAAAGCATGTGCAGCCGGACTTGGCAAATCTGTTCATCTATACGTCCGTGGATGGCGTCCATCGGCCCCTCATATCTTCTGTCCTGCGTCCACATATCTTAAATCCGGATCAAATTCATACAAATTCATGCTCGTCGATCATACATGTCAATGTCACAGGTAAGTAGCAAATGTCGGTACCGAAAATACATAGGTCTTGTTACATAAAATTTATTTTAAGTGCACAGCTTAAATATTAGCTCTTTGGTTTTTATTGTGGATCCACATATGCTCCACAAGATCGTTGAGTAGTTGCATGTGCACGTGATGATCTTGAAAATTCTGATGCATCTGCAGAAAATTTATAAACTCAGCTGCATCTTGATCTTCCAGGATTTGAACTTGTTCTCGAGGTGCTTCAAAATCACTGGTTTGGGCTACACCATCACCCACATCCCCGACAATCAAATTGTGCAAAATAACATAACATGTCATGAGCTGCCACAAAGTTTCCGATTCCCACATCATTGGAGCTCCACGAACAATTCCCCAACGAGCTTGCACCCTAGGAATAGTTGCGCGACGCGCGCGGCCGCGGAGTGGCGCGACAAACATCGAGGAGGAGGAAGACGAGAGGAAAGAGCAAATGGATCCAGTAGGTCGACTTGGTGGATTTGGTGCAATTTACGGTGGGGTCGGGCTGTTGGGTCCGACGTGGCGGGCGCGCCCATATCCGCCCCATATTTGGGCTGGATTTGAGGGGTACTGGTCAGCCCAGGCGTTTGAGGCCCGTTTGAGGCACCCGTCTGGGTCGAAAATTCGTGTTTGTTCAGTGACCGGGCGGCCCGCCCAAACGTATGAGGCGGGATTGGGGCGTCCGACTATAGAGCAAACTGATGGGGAACAAAGCATGAAAATCAAAAAAATTCCTACGAACTCCCAAAATCTAATCTAAGAGATGCATAGCAAAAAGAGGGGAGTGTGTCTACATACCCTTATAGACTGATGACCCACAAATATATGGATCAATCGTAGTTCTTTTGATAAGTAAGAGTGTCGAACCCAACGAGGAGCAGAAGGAAATGACAAGTGGTTTTCAGCAAGGTATTCTCTGCAAGCACTGAAATTATAAGTAACGAGTAGTTTGATATCAAGATAATTTGTAACGAGCAAGTAACGATAATAGTAACAAAAGTGCAGTAAGGTTGCCAAAACCTTTTGAGGCAAAGGACAGGCCAAAACGGCCACTTATAATAAGCAAAACATTCTTGAGGGTGCACGGGAATTTCATCTAGTCACTTTCATCATGTTGGTTTGATTCGTGATCGCTATTTTTATAATTTGATATGTGGGTGGACTAGTGCTTAGGTGCTGTTCTTACTTGAACAAACCTCTTACTTATGATTAACCCCTTCGCAAGCATCCGCAACTACGAGAAAAGTATTAAGATAAAATGTAATCATAGCATTAAACTTTTGGATCCAAATCAACCCCTTATGAAGTAGCGCATAATCTAGGGTTTAAGCTTCTGTCATTCTCGCAACCCATCATCTAATAACTAGTCCACAATACATTCTCTTAGGCACTAATAAGGTGAAGTGTCATGTAGTCGACGTTCACATGACATCACTAAGGGAATCAACATACATATCATCAAAATATCAAATACATATCAAGTTCACATGATTACTTGCAACAAGATTTCTCCCGTGACCTCGAGAACAAAAGTAACTACTCACAAATGATAATAATGCTCAAGATCAGAGGGGTATTAAATAGCATAATGGATCTGAACATAATCTTCCACCAAATAAACCATATAGTAATCAACTACAAGATGTAATCAACACTGCTAGTCACCCACAAGCACCAATCTGAAGTTCCGGTATAAAGATTGAACACAAGAGATGAACTAGGGTTTGAGAGGAGATGGTGTTGTTGAAGATGTTGATGGAGATTTCCCTCCCCAAGATGGGAGAGTTGTTGGTGATGACGATGACGACGATTTCCCCCTCCGGGAGGGAAGTTCCCCGGGCGGAATCGCTCTGCCGGAGGGAAAAAGTGCTCCTGCCCAAGTTCCGCCTCAAGACGACGTCGCTTCGTCCCAAAAGTCTTCTTGTAATTTTTGTTTCTAGGTCAAAATGACTTATATACCAGAACATGGGCACCGGAGGTAGGCCGAGGAGGGCAAAATCCACCAGGGCGCACCTAGGCTCCATGGTGCGCCCAGGTGGGTTGTGCCCACCTGGTGGAGCCCCTCTGGTAGCTATTTGCTCCAATAATTCTTAAATATTCCATAAAAATCTCTGTGAAGTGTCAGCTTATTTGGACTTGTGCAGAATAGGTAGCTCTGATGTGCTTTTTCAGGTCCAGAATTCTAGCTGCCAGTATTCTCCCTCTTTGTGTAAACCTTGCATATTATGAGAGAAAAGGCATTAGAATTACTCCAAAAAGCATTATTGTACATAGAAAAATTATAAATATCAGTAGCAAAACATAATGCAAAATGGACATATTAACTCCCCCAAGCTTAGACCTCGCTTGTCGCTTGTCCTCAAGCGAAAAACCGAAAGCAAAAAACATGTCCACATGCATAGAGAGAGAGAGAGAGAGTTGTCGATAAAAACAAAATACAGACATAGAAGCATCATGCACATTATTGTAACAATAAGGAACTTAAACATAAAGTTTTTATCACATAACTTTTATCATATAACTTGTGTCATATAACTTCTTATGAACAAGTAACAATTCATCACAACATGAAGTATAAAGCATAAACCTTGTTTAAAACCAACAAACTATGTTCTCAGTCAAGTTTGCAACTACAATTCATCACAGGAAGGGTCACGTGTCGGAGCCTTTAGGCAAGTCCACATACTCAACCATCATATAGTCTTCTATGATTGCTAACACTCACAGCGTACCCATGAACAAAAAGTTTCAACCAGACACATAGAAAGATAGGGGCTTATAGTTTCGCCACCCAACATATTCACCTCAAGGGTGATGTCACAAATAATAACTCATGCCTACTCATATCCAGCTGATATATGTGCCTAGATCTTTCCTCACCACATGATGCTTGCCAAAGGAGAAAAATAAAAAGGAATAGGGGAGAAAACTTTGACTATGCGTAAAAGTAAAATAAAGCCCCTTCGTAGAGGGAAGTAGAGGTTGCCATGCGCTTATTTGTTTGTATACCAAATCCCTTAATGCAAAAGAATGTCACGTTGTATTGCCCCTTATGATAGCAACCTTATTATGCAGTCTGCGCTTTTATTCTTTGTCATCACAAGTTCGTACAACGCATGTGAATCTTCTCTTCCCTTATTAATTCTTTCATGAGTTGCATCATTGACCAATGCTATGTTTGTCAATATCCAACAAATTTTACCACTTATGCTCTTCCTTATGTGATGTCATTACTTACCATAAGATTAGCATATGATCTTTTTTATTTATTTATTCCTTTCCTTTTTATTGAAACATAAAAGTGCAGAAAGCAAAACTTGAACTAATCTTTATTATATAACTCGCACACGATTACATAGATAGATCACTAAGCAAACACTCGAAAAGATAGGATCGAACTAAGATTTTATTCAACTAGATCAAAAGTTAACTAAGGATTGAACTAAAAATAGATAAAAGCAAAGATAGCGGTGGTGATACGATACCGGGACACCTCCCCCAAGCTTGGCACAAGCCAAGGGGAGTGCCCATACCATGAACTCAAGTCTCCTTTGGTGATGAAGAAAGTGGTGGTGGTGATGAGGTAGCAATCTCTAACAGGTTCTCCAATCTACGTATGACGCTCCGAAGGGCAATGATGTGCTCTCGCAATAGGATATTTTCACGAGTGAGAAATTTGTTTTGAACACGGACCGTTTCAATGATCATAAAAGCTTCAATTTCAGTAGGGTGAGATATTCATAATATGGTTGGAGGATATCCTCTTCTTCCTCTGTAGGCAAGGCTTGCCCTACTGCTGGAGCTTGATCTCCAACAACTTCCTTGCTCTTCTTCCCCTTTAGAGCTTCTTTTGGTCCTTCTCCATCTTCATTAACCAAGCATCTTCTTCTACGTTGTTGGAGGAGGGAGAAGACATGGTGTCTGGCCTGAGAGGTCTGACAAAAAACAGCAAGAAAGAAGAACAGAAGATTTTTGTGCGGTACGAAGGTCAATGCATTTGGGGGGTATATAAAGATTTTTATCTTGGGAAACAAGCAAGCGAAAGAAAAATGGAGTTTGGAAGGTAAATGAGGTGGGCACAACCCACCCGGGCGCACCAGGGGGCCCTAGCGCACCCTGGTG